AAAGAATGCTAAGAGAGCTATAATCATTACCTAATTGATTTTTCTCGCTCCCACATGCCCCTCCTCTTCTTTATAAGCTAACATCTTCGTGCTCATTGCATTTTAAATAAGGAGCAACCCATACATTCATATTTATCAAGACAATATTAGTCTCCCAAAAGGGATGAAGCTTGATCCATTCATTCAACAAACATTTGTTGAGTTTCTGCCAACTAGATGGCCACAGTTCACACTTGGCCAACCTTTTTGTCTAGTGGGAGAGTCAAGCAAATAAACAGACAATTACAACAGAGTGAGGTGATTGCATGACAGAGAATTCGAGAATGCTCAGGAACATGCAGAAGGAGTGTCTCCTCTAGGCGTGGGAGATCAAAGAAGCTGCACATAAGTGAAGTTAGCTGGAAACTTGAGGAGCTATTGGAAGGCAACATGGAGAGCAACACCACCAAACCACCGGGTAGAGTTAAGCCAAACAGTGGATCCAAGCGAGGGTCAACTTCTCGATCCAGATGTGACGAGTGCTTATCTTGCCACTGACCCATATGACCCACAGACAGGCCACAGTTCATCCTAAACACTAGGTTCTATAGCAGATTTCTGGTTCCCTTTATTTCTAAATATATTCTGCTTTCTCCTGTCTTAATTTGTTATCTTTGCCAGCCTCCCAGAGAGCAAGCATTTTAACTCAACCCAGCAAAGGCCTCTGTGGGAGACAGGGTGATAAATGCAGGACATAATGAAGGGAGGAACTGGGGCCCCACCACAAGGACCACATAACCACAGACGCATAAAACTGAGAATAGCCATGTGACCACCCACTGACTATTCCACACCCCACAAACCTTGCTGAGGTGACCAGCCACTACCAATCCTGCTTATGAAACAAATATCCCCACTCTGAATTTATCTTAGTCTGGTGCATTTTTCTATACCCTATACCTGTCATTTTGTGAGGACAGCAGACTGAGCTCCTGACACTAAGCCCCCTTCTCTAACAGTGGAATCCTTATCCTCTGTCCATCTGAGTACTCTTCCTAAATTGGTACATTTCTTGCTTCCAGAGAATACTGATGTTTCCTCCAATCATTTCTACATATCACTGTCCATATAAAACCACAACACTGAGGCCAAAGAAAAATAACCAGTTTTTGCAGCCCCTCTGGAAAACAGTGTGGAGGTTCCTCAAAAAATTAACAACAGAACTCCCCTAGGACCCAGCAATAGCACTGCTAGGAATTTACCCAAGGGATACAGGAGTACTGATGCATAGTGGCACATGGACCCCAATGTTCATAGCAGCACTCTCAACAATAGCCAAAACATGGAAAGAACCTAAGTGTCCATCAACGGACAAATGGATCAAGAGGATGTGGTTTATCTATACAATGGAATACCACATGGCAATGAGAAAGAATGAAATCTGGCCATGTGTAGCAACATGGATGGAACTTGAGGGTGTTCTGCTAAGCAAAATAAGTCAGGCAGAGAAAGACAGATACCATATGTTTTCACTTATAGGTGGATTAGGAGAAACTTAATGGAGGATCATGGGGGAAGAGAAGGGGAAAAATAGTTGGGGAGAGGGAGGGAGGCAAACCATGAGAGACTCTTGAATACTGAGAACAAACTGAGGGCTAAAGGGGTTGGGGGAGAGGGGAAGGGGGAGATGGGCATGGAGAAGGGCACTTGATGGGATGAGCACTGGGTGTTATACGGAAACCAACTTGACAATAAACTATGAAAGAAAAATTTTTAAACAGTAGAAAAAAAAAAGAAAAATTACCAGTTTTGACCATTTGCTCTTGCAAAAACTACTGAACATTCTACAAGCTAATTGAATGGTTGGATGAAATGACTTTTTAATGTCCCTTCCAATCCTGAGGTTTTATGATTCTATGACATAATTGGAGCCATTTCTCCTTGAGGGCTACAGCTAGGAAAAGTTATTATTCTAGGCTAAGAAGTTATTATAAAGGGAAAATGGGGTCAGTATTTCAATAATATTTGGTTTTCCAATATAACTTCACTGTCAAGAGGCAAAGCTGCAGCCACATGTAAACCTGGCATATTCTGTTGTATATTTTACAACCAAAGGCAGAGGGTTTTACATCAAAAGGTCAACAAAACACAAAATTTAACAAACAAACCAAAAAAGAATGTTCTAAATGTTTTGGGTGGTACGATACTTCCCATCTAAGGATGTGTCATTATTTTTGCTATCCTTTCCAAACTGAATCTTAATTATGTTTTGCAATCTAAGTACTAGAAAATACAAAAATTGTGCTTAGTCTTTTAGGATTTTAAAATACGTTTCACAGACCTGTAATGAGAGCTATGCCCACCCACGTGTGCTACATAATCTCATTAATACCTTTGGTGCACCATACTCTATCCATCCAAAATGGAGAGTTTATCAATCAGATGCATAACCTTACAACAAATATCTCAAAAAAATTATCATTTAGAATGTAAAGAAGAGAAAGTCGCATCACTCAAGTCCTGCACCAAGGGAAGGATCTAGGCAAAAAGTACACCATAAGCATCTTTGGTCTTCTGAGCCAATGTTCTCTTCCACTATTATGGAAATGGCTTGAAAGTTCCAGGCAGCTCCTGGCAGCAAGGGATTAACCAACTGGGTTCGAATCCAACCTCTACGACTTCCTAGCTATGTGACCCAAAAAGCAATTTAACCTCTCTAGGCATTAGTTTCCTGATGTGGGGGGAAGAAAAGATGTCACCACACCACCTTCCTCATACGATTATTGACATACTTCAGTAATACCCTCACCTCAATCTCTAGTTCACTCTAAAACTGGTTGCTTTGGAGAATTTTGGAAGGGCTCCTGGAATGTAGGCAAACAAATATGGAGAAGCCACTCAGTCCTAAAAAGAAGGGTTCTGTAATTACTATGGCTCAGTTGGTTGAGTCGCATTTAATTAAGTCTGGAATTCCAAGGACAAAAACAGAGCTTCCCAACAGGACACCTAAGACAAGGAATCACGTGGGATCAGACTTGGAAAGTTCCCAAGCTTATGCTCTTGAGGTCTGGGAGGGTAGCCACGAACCACACTTTGTTGCAATGGAGGGGAAGGCACAGATTCTTCTATCAACTCTAAGAAATCTTTTCACATTGTCTTCCCTCTCAATGTTTCAGCTCTCCTGCTAAATCCAGGGTGAACCAACTCTGAACTCTGGATCCACGTGAGCACACTGAGAGCAGGGAGAGAAGAGGAGCCCAGCAACAGAAAGTCAGTGAGAATCACTTCATAACTATGAACATCTCAGCGAACCATACTCTGCGTTTGGAGCCAACAGAGTTAACCCCTCCGTTCCCCCGTGACTTAGTCATTCATTGCCGCTCTGTTTGGCTGAAAACTAAAACTGTCACCCAAGCAACACTGGTCTCCTTAGAGAGAGAGGAACAACCCAGCATCAGGAAATGTAATGACCCTTTGAAAGGCAGCTGGTTTAGAACTTGTGGATCACTTTGAAATACCCAGACAAGCCACGCCACATCAATACCACATTTAAATATAATGCGTGCACACGAGCCCCCAAACCAAAGCAGTGACTTGCCAGGACTCCGGTTCTGCTTTCCCCATCAGGTCCGCTGGGGAGGCACCTGATGCTTTTGAAAGTCATATTCCGAGTAAGGTTCCTGCTGGATAAGTTAAGACCTCCGGGCTTCAAAGGAAAGATTCCTCCCTTTCCAGGCCACACCCGCAGATGTGACTAACAGTCCGCTGTCCTACTGGGAGGTACCTCGGCCCCAAGTCCAGAGCAGGAAAGGCCTGAGTTGAGGCAGCTGGGGAAGCCCAGAGCAATGAACGCCTGCACCAGCAGACCAGTGGACCCCGAGCGGAGCAGAACACGGCCCCTGGCCATCCTGCCTTAAACTCAGGGAGTTCTAAGTTAACATGTCGCCTCTGGTCTCAATGTGAGGGCCTGGGCACTTCTGTTTCCTGTCCTCCTTCACATTCCGTCTTTGAATGCGGCTCAAACACTGAATTCTGTGAAACCCAAAGCCAGTAGAGATCGGATGCAAGTGCCCAATCTTCATTGCTCTCAAGCCCATCCCCCGTGAAGCCTGCGTGCGGTTAGCACTAGGCCAGGTGAGGCCACACTTCCTCCCCTCTCCCCAGCCTACATGGATCTTGTTTCTCAAGGCTTTTTGTATCACCTCTCACTGCTCTCTCTGAGGATTACTTCTAGCTCCAGATCAAGAATTCCTTCAACCTTCCACATGTTGATATCTGCCCCGAGTCGTGATCCTTTTCGCCAAGCTTTCCATTTCTCACTGGGATGTGCTAAAGGAGCCATTAGGTGCGAACAGATAACTCACATGATCTCAACCAAGATTTTAGAAGCTTGGCGGAAAAAAGTCCTCGTTTGTGGAAGCAGTGACTCTCCAAAGACCCAGCACTCTGTGCACGCTGCATACGAAGTCGTGGACACTATGTGTGCATTGGTCTCCTGCGGGCCGCGGAAAGGAGCTAACAACGAGAGATCTACCACCTCCCCCGGCAGGCGGCAGATCTGGAACGGTCTGTCCCCTGAGCATCCTGGATACATAGCAGAGGTCCAGGAGGAGGAGAGGGGCTTCCAGCATCCGCCGGAGGAGGACGGCGAGAGAAAAAGGTGCCATCTGGGCAAAACTGCTTCTGGCTCTCGTCTCAAAGAGCGCTGCTTTCTGGTCCTTGTCACTGCGTGTCACTTTCTGCCACGCCACCCCCACTCTACTCGCCAAAAGCCTCAAGATTTCTAAGAGGCTCTGAATTATTGACAAATCTAGGGAAGATGCTTTGGAAAACATTAAGTACAAAAACAGACCTGAACAGCTAGTGCAAACAGTCGGTTCATTGGCAGTTTCCTTTTTAAGGCCAAGAGAAAAGAAGAAGGGGGTAAAAAATAAAAGCCTGCCTCTGCTAAATAATAATGATATTCACAGAACAAGAAACTCTGCGGCGCCAAAGTTCACAGCGTCTCCAGCTGTACTCACCCCTAGCCATCTTGCTCCTTTATTGGCAGCCTGTTGAATCTGGACTCTTTTGAGGGTGACATGGTAAACAGCTCCTTCCTCTACCTCTTCACCCCAGTCCTGAATCGAGCTCTGCCAGGGAATGGGATAAAGAGAAAGAAAAAGAATATTTTTTTTTTCCTCTCTGCTAACCACAATCTATCCCAGCTGCTTTCCTGCTTACACCAGCACTTGGGGCACAAGATGGGCTGTTCAAAATAAATATTACAATCAGAGCAATACAAGACACATTGCGATAGAGGGAATGCTGAAATTTTCTTGGACCCCAGCCCTTTCCTGTGGTATCAAGATCCCCGGACTTTTCCATGTAGTTATTTTTCCTACACTCACTCACATAGCTTAGGGGGTTTTTGAAGTCTTTTTTTTTTTTTTCCTCCTTTACAACACTGTGATTTAATCCTGATTACCGCCTCCTCCACCCCCCACTTGAGTGAAAGGAAAAATAATTCGTTGGTACTAAGTCTGTACTACTTTTATAAGTGGCTTGGTTATTTGAGCACACTACATTTTAAACTCAGGCACAAACAAGTGTCTGAGATGCCAAGAGCCCGGACTCCTTTTGGAAGTGAAATGCTTCCCGTGTCTTATTCTCCTCTTGCTGTGCTGGGACCCAAAAAGTTAGCGGGGTCGGGGGTAAAAAGTGTTTATTTCCGGAAGCTAATCTGGCCAGTGCAGAAAAAGCAACACATCATCATGCAGCCGCAAGGACGGGGCGCGCGTCGACCCCTGGACTTCCACGTCCCCAGCGACAGCCCGAGTTGTGTTAAAGAGCCGCCGGGGCGCGGGAGCGCTCCCGGGCTCACCCCGGCGAACAGTCCTCTGTCCTTAAAAGTTTCCCCTTCCCGACCAACATCTGCCCCGGACACACCAGAGGCAACAGCCGACCGAGTAGGTGCCGCGCGGAGAGGAAAGCGTACAAAGCGGAGCGAGGCAGCCTGGGCTCCCAAGCAGGGGGTCGGATGGCCCCGTCCGCTCCGAGGGAGTCCAGAACACGCCCCGAGAAAGCGGCAGAAGGTCCCCCACCAGAGAAGCCTCGGGAGAAGGCAGAGCTCTCGTTACCATTTTAGCTTGCCAAAGCAATTTCATTCTCAGTTTTCTCTTCGGTCCGCGGCCGCGGCATCCTGCGCCCCGCTCCGGGCCCAACGCGGTCTCGGCCCGCGCGGCCGCGGCGCCCCCAGCCCCGCCGCCCGCGCGCCCGCCGCGCCCCGAGCGAGCACAGACCCGCGCGCTGCCCCCGCCGCCGCCGCCGCCGCCGCCGCCGCCGCCGGTGCGCGCGACTCGGGCCACAAAGGGAGCGCGGCGAGCGAGGGCGCCGCAGACTCCTCCCCGCGCCGCTCCGTGATGTCAGGCTTTCCTGTTTGTGCTCCGAGCACGCTCTCCCCTTCTCAAATCCCGTGCGTAAAGTTAGCAAGCGGTAGTTTCTCCGGCCCCGAAGGCGATCGGACCACGAGCCTCTCAAGGTGCTCAGGTTCCCTGGACGGTCACCAGGTGCCAGGAAGGGACCGCGTGCGCTCTGGGGGGTCCAAGTGTGTGTCCTCTTCCTTTGCTAAGAGATAAAGGGGGAGCGGGCAGAGCAAAAAGGATGGGTGGAGAAGGTCGGGGAAAACTTTTGCTACCTACTGAATTTAGACTAAATCAGAGCCGCCCCCAAAGAGAGGGGCAGTACTAGAAGCCAGGAAGTTTTTCATTAGCGCAAAAAAGAAATGGTCAGAGGATATTCCAAAAGCCATGCCCAGGGGCCCTACCCGGTGGTGCATCAGCGCGCCGCCGACAGGAAATGGCTCTGGACTTCTTTCTACCACCCATTATGATAAGGCTCATCCACAGTAACTGGCCAGCGTGGGTGAGAAGGGGACAAAGCAGGCAAGGGTTTTGCTGGGGCTGACGGCATGGAAAGTGGGCCATCAGTGGCCCCGCAGGTTCTGTGAGTCTTTGTGAGACAGCCATCAGTTAAGTTGTCCCTACTGTAGGGATGCAGCGGGATAGTAACAGCAAGGACAGAGCCCTTCACGAGGAGACTGCTAGAGGGAGTTTTGTCATAACAGAAAGATCTGTTACCAGGACAAAAGATTGTAACCTCTCTTAGATCCAGTTTTAGTAAATCAGCAGCATAATACCAGATGATAATGTAGTCAAACACGCGTGACAGAATTCCATGCCAATTGCAAAACAAAACAAACAAAAAAGAAACCCAGAGCTCACATCTTATACTAATTGAATTTAATCACCTTTAAATTTGTTTCTGAAGACCTCCCACTAATTGCCATGCTAAGGCATAAGGCTAGGATTTGGTTCATAATAAATATATCATGAGCAGCAAAGCTAGAGAGTCATGTGTACCGATGTTCCCAGGAGAGAAGAATAAATGACAGTGAAAGCGCATCAAGGAGGAACAAAAGGATTTTGGGCATTCGAGAACATCTTGAAGTCACTCAGCCAAGTTCCTCTCATACAACCAGAACCTACCCAGCTCAGTAACTGTGGAGACAGTGAATGCTCTTTTTATAAAACTGAAGTGGTTGTTTCTATAATTTCAAAAAAAAAAAAAAAAAAAAGGAAAAGCACATTGACTAGATCCTCCTGTGATCACCAGGAGAGGGTGTCCCCAGTGTCTAGAGGAAAATCATGTGGACGCCCTACCTTCCCCTCCTTATGCCGTCCTCAGTCCCCCTGTCCACCCTTAGACAACCTACCTATTCTTGATCTCAAAGACCTCAAGAAGCACCTGAGGACAGTTAAGCAACCTATTAGTTAATTTCACCACTACTTTAACCTGACCTGATTTGGGCTATAAATTTGGAGACTACTGAAAAATTTTCACTTCAGGGATATCAAGCATTTTCTCAGCCCCGCCTTTACTGTGCTGCCTTCCCAGACAAGGCAGCTTATCATTCATAATACCCCACTCAGGTGTCAGATCTTGTCACCCACTTCTCCACCAATTCTATACACCACCTCGTGTATAGTGAAAACACAGGCTTCAAGGCAAGTGGATCCAGCTTCAAATCCATGCTTACATTAAGAGTGAAGTTGGGGGCACCTGAGTGGCTCAGTCGGCTAAGCATGCGACTCTTGACTTCAGCTCAGGGAATGATCTCACAGTTCTTGGGTTCGAGGCCTGCATCAGGCTCCGCAATGACAGTGTAGAGCCTGCTTGGGATTCTCTCTCCCTCTCTCTGCCCCTCCCCTGCTTGTGCTCTCTCTCTCTCTCTCTCAAAACAAAAACAAAAAGAGTGACCTCAGGTGCTACATCCCTGAGGCTTAGTTTCCTCATCTGTAAAAAGGTACAAACATCTACCTCATAGAGTTTGAAAAAGGATTAAATGAAGTATGTATGCAAATTATCTAGCACATGGCAAGTAGTCAAAAAGTTCCACCCCCTTATTATTGCACTTCTTCCCAAACTGTATTTTTTTCCCAGACTCACTGAAAAGTTGTATATGTATACAATGTGGGGAAACCTGAAATCATGTCTTCATACTAAATTACGTTATAATTTCAGAGAGGCTTTTCAAGAATAACTGTTTGTATTTATACCTGATAATGTATGTGATGTTGTTCAAATGATTAAACACACACACACACACACACACACACACACGAAGGTCTGGTTATACTAGATAGTGCATTAAGTGCATTGCATTTTATAATTTTTAAAACTATTTTATAAATTTTAAAACTATTTCACTATTACCTTATTACACATACCTTTGGGTTAAAACACTCCTGGCGAATATGTGGGAAGGATAAACCAGTAAGCCATTTATAATTAAGTTTGAATTTACTTACCAGATTAGTTTGACCATGACCTAGCAGCATCCTAAGAGGATAGGTCAAGTTTTATTAAAAGGAGATTGGCAATGTTCTATAATTTTCAGAGTAGGAGTCTTTCATCTCTTTGGCTTAGTTTATTCCTAAGTTTTTATTCTTTTTGATGCTAATGTGAATGGGACTGTTTTCTCAATTTCATTTTTGGATTGTTGGTTGTTACTATATAGAAATGCAATTGACTTTTATAGACTGATCTGGCATCCTGCAACCTTACTGAATTCACTTATTAGTTCTAAAAATTCACTTGTGGACACAAATGAAAGGACATCTTGCGTTCACATGTTTGAAAGCTTAATATTGTTAAACCATCCATACTACCCCAAGCAATCTACAGATTCGATGCAATCCTTAACAAAACCGCAATAGCATATTTTACAGAAATAGAAAAAAAATCCTAAAATTCATATGTAAGCACAAAGGATACTGAAAAGCCAAAGCAATCCTGAAAACAAAGAACAAAGTTGGAGGTGTCACATTTTCTGATTTCAAAACATATTACTAAGCTATAGTAATCTAAACTGTGGAACTAGTATAATAACAACGGACTAATAGAACCTAATAGAAAGACCAGAAATAAACCCACACATATACAGTCAAGTGATCTTTGGAAAGGATGCCAAGAACAAACAATGGGGAAAGGACAGTCTCTTTGACAAATGGTTCTGGGTAAACTGAATATCCACTAAACTTCTTGACATAGGGGGAAAGCTTCATGACATTGATCATGGCAATGATTTCATGGATATGACACCAAAAGCATAGGCAACAAAAGTGAAAATAGATGAACAAGACTAGATCAAACTAAAAAGCTTCTACACAGCAAAGGAAACAAGCAACAGAGTGAAAAGGCAGCATATCAGATAGAAGAAACTATCTGCAAACAACATAGTTGATAAGGAGTTAAAATCCATAACATATAAGAAACTTCCACAAAGCAATAGGGAAAAAAACACACAAAACAAACAAATAAAATAACTCAATTTAAAAACGGCCAAAGGACTTGAATAAACATTCTCCAAAGAAGAGATACAAATGGCCAACAGACATATGAAAAGATGCTCAACATGACTAATCATCAGGGAGTTGCAAATCAAAACCACAATAAGATATCACCTCACACCTATTAGGATGACCATTATTCAAACAAACAAAGAAAACAAAAACATTGGCTAGCATGTGGAGAAAAGGGAAACTTTGTATATACTGTTGGTAGGAATATAAATTGGTACAGCCATTATGGA